GGTAAATGGTCTATTGGAGTTTCTACAGCTGCAGGAATAGTAATATTAGCTATCTAGATAATAGTCATGGTACTAGTTTTAAACATACTCCTGTTTTGTTTTTGAATTCATCGCCAGGAAAGGTCTTAGTCCTCTTTGAAATCTGCTTTTTTCTTGTCCCTGATAACCCATCATTGAAAGTCTATATCTTGAAGAGTACCATGTTTACCAGACAGATAGTGGAGATGGGATCACAAGTAAAATGGCACGTGCAGAGGCCCAGAGGCATTACAGAGTCTTCCATTTTTGAAGAACAGCTATTCTAAGTATGAGTTGTTTTGGAGGAGTGGCAGGACATATAAGATGTATGAAGTGGATGTGCTAGGTCACAAGCAATTCCATATGCCATGCCAAGGAGCTATTATATTTATACTGAGGAATTTAATAATAATTTATTTTCTCTTTCTTTCTTTCCCTCCCTCCCTCCCTTCTTCCTTTCCTTCCTTCCTTCCTATCTTCCTTCCTAGATGGGATCTCACTCTGTTGCCTAGGTTGGAGTGCAGTGCTGTGATCACAGCTTACTGTAATCTCAAACTCCTGGGCTCAAGTGATCCTCCCACCTCAGCTTCCTGAGTAGCCAGGATGACAGGTGTGTACCAACAGGCTCAGCTAATTTTGTAGAGATGGGGTTTCACTGTGTTGCCCAGGCTGGTCTTGAACTCTGGGCCTCAAGCTATCTAAAGTGCTGGGATTACAGGTGTGAACCACCGTTCCTGGCCTTAATAAGAATTCTAATAGGGAAATGACTTGGTTAGGATTACATATTCAAAAGGCCTTTGTAGCCATGTGAAGAATAAACTGAGGCAGGGGAAGCTATTGCAGGACATATGAGGCTAAATTGTAGATGGACCTGCGAGTTATTGGCAGGTCAGATAATCAGGAATTAGCGATCAATTGATTATGGGCAGGAAGTGAAAGAAAAGAATCCAGGCTGACTCTTAGTTTCTGGATTGTGCAGATATGCGGGTGATGTTACAGTCAGTGAAAGAGTGAACGCAGAAGGAGCAGTCTGGGTTGGTAGCATGTGAATGTGACTGAAGTGAGGTGATAAGTTCTGTTTAGGGCAGTGTCAGCTTGCAGTACCTTTGACTTTTTGGTGGAGATGTCCACACACACACAAACATACACAAACATCTTCATATTTAAGGACCTAGACTTGGGTTCAAATCCTAGCTCTGCTACTTCCTATCTGTGTGACCTTGGGCAGGTGGCTTAATGTTTCTAAGTCGCAGTTTTTATAGTTGTAAAAAGGTGATAGTACTTAACTCATAGGGTTGCTGTGTGAATTAAATGATCTAATTGACAAAAGTCTAACACAGTGCCTAATGCACACTAACTTGTTATTCTAGATATGGGGGTTGCCAGTATCTTGTTTGGTGCCGTGGAATGGATGAGATTCATTAGAAAGATGAGAATGAGAAGAGAGGGGTCCAAATATGAACTACTGGGGACTGTCAACAGTTGAACTTCAGAAGTATCTCAGAGAACAGACACCTAGGTCACAGGCCTCATGGTGCTTACGTTCTAGAGGAGAGACAGATAGTCATCGAACAGTTAAAGCTATCATCTAGTGATAAGTGCTTTAGAGAGGATGAGAACAGGATAAAATGCTAGAGAGTTCCTAGGAGTCTATTTTAGATTGGATGGTAGGGAAGGCCTCTTTGAGGAGGATACAGGTAAGATGACATAATCAGTAATAGCCAGCCATGTGAAGATTGGACAGAAGGACATTCTTTGTAGTGCAAAAGCCCCAGGATGGGAATAAGCAGTGGGTGTATCTGGAGAACAGTAAGAAGGCCAGTGGGACTAAAGATAGGGCAATGGGAAAATTGATGAGTTGAGACCAGAGAGTATGTAGTGACCAAGCCACATTGGGCCTGCTAAGCCAGGGTAAGGAGTTTGTATTTATTCTAGGCAGCTTGGAAAGCCCCTAGAAAGCTTTAGGTAGGAAAGTAGTGTATTCTGATTTACATTTTAAAGAGATCACTGTGATCACAAGAGCCAAGAATGAGGTAGAAAGACTAGAAACAGGAGGTTAATGAAACAGTCTAGATGAGAGATGCTTTATTTTGATTTCTCTTTCCCTTTTATTATTAGGCGCTTAGTTGCTTGGAAGCCTCAAAGCTGTCCTTGAACTGATCCCCGTCAGAAGAGTTGTCTTGATAATTGAGATGCTCCAGGTGTGGAGCAGTGATTACCTACTGAGTGTCCTTAGCCTGTTCTTAACCCAGGGGTGCCTGCATTCTAAGACTATGACCTTTTGTTCAATTACTTTCTTCTGGGAAGAGTTCATAGCTTCTCTCCAGGTTGTCAGAGGGATCTGTGACCTCCAAAAGGGTAACCATGGATAGAGTAATGAGCCCTATGAGAGGTGTCACAGGAATTAGAGAAAGCAAGAGTGCCAGTGGTATCTCCTACTTTCTAAGACCTCATACTTAAGGAGAGAAGGAAAACATGAAGTTAGACACAATTAAGAAAAATGAATGAAACCAGGGGCAGTCAGGCCTGATCATATGGCACTTGGGGCAAATATTAAAACATAAGAAATCTTTTCTCTTCAGTTTCCTCCCTCCACATTTTAACTGTAAGTCTGGAAATGCAAGTTTTGCTCATACTTAATGTTCATTAAAGCCACAAGATGGCGAGGTTGCTCCTTAGAACGAATGTGAGTTAAGTGGAAGATGGAGGAGAGCGGAGGTTGTTCCTCTCTGGTTTTCTGTAACTTCCTTAATTTTCCTTGTCACTTTACTTGAATATGAAACAGAACCAACATGTTTAACTTTTTCCTCTTTAATTTAGATTTTGATCATAGTTGTTTTTGGAATTGTAAAGCTAAAAATAAAATTAAAAAGAACTAGCTAGATCCCATGCTTACTATTTTTCAGCTCTTCATTAAATTATTAATAATTTCATTCTGCACATTGCCAACAGAGTAATCTTAGCAAAATACCATTTTGATGTCTATTCCCTGTTTTAAAACTTTGTTTACTTATCATCATAAAAAGTTGTTGATAGTACTGGTAGTGTTCAAATATTTAAGGTAAGTGTAAGGTGTGAAAAGGTGGAATAATTTTTGACATACTATATATATTTATAAAATTATTATTGTCAGATTCTTTTCTATAATAAACAAATGCAAGTTTTCAAGTATTAATACAAAAATTTTCAATTTTTATGAGTTATTAAACTATATAATTTCAATGCTTAGAGTATTCTCGTCATTTAGGAATACCTCAGGGCAGTTTTCTTTTTGTTATTCTCAATATTTTGTGGAAAAGGTAAGCTAATACATTATTAGTATGTTGATTAATGCATACTTAGTAACTACATAAATTTAGTTTTAAAAGTATATGCTGTCTTATCAAATTAAATCCTCCTAAGAAATCTATGAGATAAATGTGAATAATGCCATTTTACAGATGAAGACATTGAGGCTCAGGGGGATTAAATGAATTGTCAAAGACTTAATACTTGGCTGATGGGCTTATTATATATTCTATCTATTTTTATTTGTTTGAAATTTTCCATGATAAAACATAAGGAGGGACATGTTTTGACACCTTTTCTGCCATCAATAGTGATAAATATCACTTAATCTTGAACTCTTTAAATTTCTTAATAGTAAGTGATAGTTTTATCTGTGGATTGTGTTTTACATACTTTTATTTCTGACAAAGACCACTTCTGGTGGCAAGTGCATCTGGGTAGTTTAATTGGTGATTATCACTTACTTCTTTAGTTTCTTTATTCATTTACTTTTTATAGATAATTTGTTTTTGAAAAAAATTATTATTTTAATATAACGAGTATTCATTCATTTCTTCAATAAATGTTACTGAACACTCTTCTGGATGCTAGGGATACAACAGTGAATCAAATAGAAAAAGTTTATGGAGCACACACTTTAGTAGGGAGGAGATAAAATAAATCAATAAACAACTATGTTATATATCTGCAGTCATAAGGGCTATGAAGACAAATATAACTGGGTATGGGGGATTAAAAGTGAGAAGTGAGAGTGCTTTTTTATAAAATGATGTCAGGGAAGATCTCTCTGGTAAGGAGACATTTGAATGGAGATTTGGAAGATTCAGGGAACCCAGATGTATAGATATATGGATTGAAATGGAGGGAGAGCCTTCCAGATGGCTGGATCTTTCCTTTCCTTTGTTTTCCTGATCTTTCTAAAGCAGGGTACTCAGGGAATGACAACAAATAGCTGGTGGTATGGAAGGCTCTTCATTTGGCCACTCTCAGGTTGATACACAGGATTTGAAGACACAGCTCCTGATATAACCTTTATAATTCAACAATAAGCAGCAGGGAAAGCAGGAGAGAACATTTCTTGTGTTCTCTTTATTCTTGCTTGCTGAAGGCCAAAAAAAAAAAAAAAGAAAGGAAGAAATAGAACCCAACGAAACATTGTTTTGCTTTACTCAGTGTATTGTTGGGTACAGAGTGAGGGTAGCAAATGCCTGTGGGGGTCTGGGAAGTAAGTTAAATGAAGGGGTCAGGCTAAGGGGAGTGAGGAATGGTGGAGACTGTGGCAAGTCAGAGAACGTATGCTCCGTGTAAAAGGGAGAGTTGATTCTTTGTTGCCATGCAAGAATGTGGGTCTAGTTTTGGATAATTTTCTGATTATTTTAAGAAAATCCAGAAATTTGCATTTTGTGTGATATCTCCTGATTTTTAAATGTTGGCAACTAAATACAATCATTTCGAAACACTCTGTAGGCCAAACAAAGCACTCATGCAGGTGAAATCTGGCCTGCAAATCAACAGTTTTTGACTTTCCAGGAGTAGAACACCATGGTTAATTCTTACTTCCTTCTTGAAGGGACAGTATAGCTCCAATAGTATCAAAATACTGCAAGATTTCTGGCTACAAGTGGTTTTCACACACTACAGTGGTTTTAGCACACCCTGAGTGGTGCTGAATATGTCTATTCCTGTTGTTTTAGGGTATGGTCAGACAGGTCCGATGTCGCAGCGAGCTGGTTATGATGCTGTTGCCTCTGCGGTTTCTGGTCTGATGCACATCACAGGACCTGAGGTAGGTGTCCTTCTTTAGAGTATTCATAATTTTTTCTGTTACATATTCCAAAGAGATTTTATTTTTCACTAACCCATAGGATTAAACTTGAGTTAATTTTAGAAAGAAACCAGGAAAAGTAAATGACATATTAAAATAAAACAGAAGTGTTCATTACAAATGTACTCGAGGTTAAACATCAGTTTGGCCCCATGGAAAGAGCAATATTTTTAGCAAGAAGAAATAGATCAGGGGCGAACATATTTTTCATATTTATTGTATTATTCAAGCTTACTATAGGCACCTTCATGTGATTTAGAAATATTCCTTTTTTGAAATAAAATGGCTGACTAGACTAGTCCTCAGATGTCCATTTCTACCAGAGTACCTTGATTTGCCACATATATGTAGCAGAATGTGTTTTTTCTTCGGAACATTGTAAGTAGTTATGCATTTGAAAATTTGTCATTTAAAGCCTCAGGTATAGTTGTGTGTGATTTGTCATATGAATTAGATTCTGGCAGTGAAAAAATTATTTGATTTTATAATAATCCATCTCCATTGAAGGTGGGTTGGGAAGTTCCTAAAAAGTATGTATAGATGGCCAGAATGTGGTTGGTTAAATAAAAAAAATTGACTCTTGGGGAAAACAATATAAATGGCATTAAATAAAGTTAAATAAAATGTGAAAGCCTAGTAAATAAAAATACTAAAAGACATCCATTTCAAAATAAACTGAATTGGTAGGCTTAAAAATTTTGTTCCAGTAGGTGTTCCCTGAATTGCTTTCTTTAGTTAATTCTTCAGGAAATATTGCCGCTGTGTTGGGATAAACTGAGACAGAGTGACCTCAGGTCTTCTCTTTTGCAGTCTTTTTTATATTAGTTTCAAAGCAGCTGTTGGAGTTTTATGTTTTGAAATATAAGGTCTTTTATATTTTTATCCTATGTTGTTTTATTTTCAGAAGTCTTAGAAAAAAATGTTTGTTGCCGTTCCTTCACATATTCAAGGGTACTGTTTTTCTTTCTATCCATTGAGAGAATGGAACATGAACATATCCCATAGACTGTCATAAGGCCAAGCCATTGTTATTGTGAGTACTGTCATTTAAGGCCACTGTACTCATTGGGAATATGTGAAAAGATATGGGATTTTTGAATGTGTATATTCAAATGCTAAAATGAATTAAATTAAAACCAGTGAGGGTGGCAGATTACTGTAGTTCCTTTAGTACCCTGTGCTACATTCTGACAGGCCTAACCACACAGCATGTGCTCAACCTTATAATTTATGTCAATAACTGTCTTAATCTTTTGTGTTACCCTACTTGAATGATTTTCGTTCTAGCTAAACAAATAAAAACAGCATTTATTGAGTGCTTACTATGTGCCAAACATTGCTTTATATACTTTACATGTATTAAATTAAGTAGACTTAACTCCTATATACTGTATCTCTTTCACATGGACACCTCTCACCCCCTAATTAAGTCACGCACCAATCCATTGAATAGTTTTTGCACGTATTTCCTACTGCATGATAGGAACTGTGGTAGGCACTGGAGATTATGCAGGCAATAGGACAGGGACGGTCCTTGCCCTCCTGAGGCTATCAAATGGGGGAAAAAATCATTAACAGAAAATATTCATTACATACAAATAAGAACTTGGAAGAAGAGTACAGGGCACACTTTTCTATAGCTAAAGCTATTAACATATATAACGGTGTGCCTCAGACCATTATTATACTTCTAAAGATCTTCACAAAATGTGGTTTGACAGTAAAGGACAAAAGCAGATGTAAGAGAACAGGCCATGCTGGGAGTCCCCCTTTAAGAAAGTTGTTTTTATTTATCTTACCAACAGTATATTATAGTTCCCTAAGCCTCTCAGCAGAGTTTGCACAGGAGGGATGACTTCCAAAAGCTCTGGCTGATATTTTTCCCTAGCCAATGAACACACACTATTGCCAATTATATCGATTGCATATGGACTTTATCTAACTGCCCAGCTGCATATCTGTGCTGTTGTGTGACTCCGTGTTGCCAGATGACTGATCGGGACCCAGGCTTCTGTATCGTTAGGAGGCTTTACTGCATGACCCTACACGGTGGACCCTAACTTTGTCAGAACAGTCAGGGAAGGCTTCTCTGAGGGCCAGATATCTAAGGTGGGACCTGGTTAACCATTGGCCAGTAACCAGAGGGCAACATCTAGATGCGGGAGATTGTGGTAGGTTTGTGGAACCAAAAGAAGGGCAGTGTCATTGGATTATTGTGAACTAGCAAAGAAGGGTGAAAAATGAGGATGGAAAGGTAGGAACAGTGGCTGAACTTATTGTTTGTGGACTTATTATATTACTTAGTGGTCTGATGAGAAGAGATGAAAAAACTCAAAATGCATGTTTTTTCTATAATGGCATAATAATATTTTTATCTAAAAGGGGGCATATCAAAATGTATAATATAGGGTAAAGTTTATGAAAGCAATCTTAATAATAAGATTAAAGGCAAACTAGTTACAGTTGACTACCACTAAATCTAAAATCTAGCCTTTTAAGGTATGCTGAGGTGTTGTCAGATAAGATTCACATTTGATTATGGATAGGAAGAGAAATGATTTTGAGTACCTATACTGTGCTAGGCTGATGCTAGATGTTTTATATATGATATTATCTCTTTTGATCCTCACATTGATACATCCAGGTAGGTATTGATAAATTGTATAACTGAAGGTTAAAGGCTTAAATAACCTGTCCAGAGTGTCCAGGTATGTAAAGTGCTAAAGCCAGACTTTGAACTCAAGTCTACTTTACTCCTATAGCCTTCACTCTTTCCACCTTCCATGATGCCTGCAGAGTGAATCCTGTTGTCTATTGTATTTGCATCTTGCTTCTGCATGCTGCTTGGTATGTTACAGTGCAGTGAATAGACCATTTGGAATAGTGAGAAAGCATTTAACTAACCGTCTAGGGCCTTGGCTCTAAATCACTCCTGTGTAATTTACTGAGTGCCTAAAACAGGCCTCAGTAGAATATAAGCCTCATAAGAATGACCCTGGTCTTTGCTTTGGTCATTGCTGTATCTCTATGCATACAACAGAGCCTTGGTAAATGCTTAATAAATAGATGTTGAGTGAATGAATAAATGAATACCTGGCACTATGCTATATGATCATGAACATATCATATAGCTTTCTTTGTTTCAGTGAAGGGTGCGTATGGAAATGAAGCTCACATACCTCTTCTATGAGATATTATAAAGAGCAAATAAAATGTCATTTATAAAATTTAAAAGCATGACATCATGTATAATGTGAGGTAGGATACATAAGAATCAGCAATTGCATAGTATATCTGCAGGTCACTGAGCTCTACCCTCAGAGTTACTGATTGGTAGGTAGAGCCCACAAATATGCATGTTTAATGATGGGCCAGCTGCTTCTGATAGGGGTGGTTTGTGGACCACACTTGGGGATAGTTGTGGGAGGTATTATTATTAAAAACCTTTTTCCACTGGAAGTAACTGATATTTTTCCATACACTCAAACAGAAGTTAGTGACTTATTAAGGTCTATATATTATACTTAATTTGTAATCTTTTTTTTTTTTTTTTTTGAGACAGAGTCTCACTGTGTTGCCTGGGCTAGAGTGCCGTGGCATCAGCCTAGCTCACAGCAACCTCAAACTCCTGGGCTCCAGCGATCCTCCTGCCTCAGCCTCCCGAGTAGCTGGGACTACAGGCACGCGCCACCATGCCTGGCTAATTTTTCTTATATATATATTTTTAGCTGTCCAATTAATTTCTTTCTATTTTTGGTAGAGACGGGGTCTCGCTCTTGCTCAGGCTGGTCTCGAACTCCTGAGCTCAAACAATCCGCCCGCCTCGGCCTCCCAGAGAGCTAGGATTACAGGTGTGAGCCACCGCGCCCAGCCTTAATTTGTAATCTTGTACTTCGAATAAAATTATATTCCCTAATTTTTTTCACATTTCTGGCTCTATGCTAACTAGTTATTACTCAAAAGGGAATATCTATCAATTTTTTTAATGCGTAGGGAATATGAAGAAATTGGGAATGAAATCAGTAAGTATGAGAGATTTTGGAAAGTAAATGACCCAGACATATGTGACATGTGTTCTAAGTAATAATTCAACTAGAATTTATGGCATGCTTAAACATCAAGAACTATACTGATTAATCAGTGAACAAAGATGTATTGACTATTTGTGTATGGTATTATATTAGGTACCATAATAAATTACTTTATATGTAACACTTGATTAGATGTATACTCATGGAAAAATTAGAAAATAATAGAAAAATGCATAAAATTAAGTGGTATGTAAAATATAAAGTTGGCTCAGGGTAGGACTTTAAGGAAGTGGTGGGACTTGAGTTACATGATACCTTGAAAAATAGATAGAATTTGGATGGATTGAGACATTCCCAGTGGAGATTACAGAGTGAACAAAGACAGGGAAGCAGGAAAGAATCAGGCACAACAGGGAAAAGCATTTGGCCAGTTACAGAAGAGCAGAGAGTTAAGGTTTCAGAATATTGAGGAAAGGTTGGTTGAGGCCATACTTTGGAAAGTCTTCAAGGTCAAGTAAAGAAGTTGGGATGTTGTTTACTCACAGTGATGTTAGAGAGGTTTTATAGAAGGGGAGTGACATGATGAAAGCTATGCTTCATAAGACTTGTTTGACTTAAGTACAGAATGAATTAAATCAAGTTTACAAGCATTGCTTCTTAGATATTTATCTCCCCCTTTAAAAACTAAGGAAATATAAATAATTACACAAAGAGAAAATGCTCTTATGTTGCTGGCAAAAGGCACCATATTATATTTAGTTTATATTTTATTTATTTTTTGAAGAGGTAATACATTTACGTAATACTAAATCCACAAGGTGCCTAAGTAGGTTGACCATACAATTTATCATACAAACCAGGACACTGTTAAGAAAGCAAGAGGGCTCTCTGTATGATAATATTGGGATATAAACTGAGCCTTTTCACTCT